GGACATTGAAGACTAACAGAGAACACAGGCTTTCATGTGTTTCCGCACTGGAGTTTCGACGCGTGCCGGAAAAGAATTGCATTCTAGAAGTGCGCCGAGAGAATGTATCTGCAACGTCAATATGGATAAGCTTTGTTCTATTGGTAGTTTTTAAAGTAGATACAAGGAAACTGCCAATCAAGCAAGCATATACTTTGTGCATAAATATTCATTTGGCGCACGGGTGGAATACTGACTTCCGCAGGTGTCCCAAGAAGCCATAAAAAATTAGAACGATAGTTGGAACATAACAAAATTGTTTCGAATTAATTTTAAAAGCTCGCCACACAAGGAAATTTGAAACATTGAAGTCCAAGTCGGATTCCAAACGAAAGCACATTTACAATTTCTATACAACAACCTTTCCTGCGTGACTCATTACTTTTAAATTTTTTTACAACACTTTCCGCACGCGTCGATTTCCGTTATAATTTTTTCACGTATGCTTCGGAGTTGTAACTCGGCCTTTGAATCCTCTACCAAGTTTGAATCTGTTGTTGTGCTATCGGTCTGTAAACATTTTAGCGATGAAAGCATGCTATTTTTCTGGATGGTTTCAGTGTACGACCTGGTCTTTGCTAAATAACCGGTGCTCGAAGTTTAAATTGAACACAAACTGAGCGATATTTTTGCTTCAAGCATTTCTCGACATGGAATGTCGTAATACCTATGTCCAATGGGTCTAATAAGTTCATCATTAGGGCTCAATAACAGTAAGAAGTAACTCAAATACAAAATAGAAATCAAGCTTTTCTCAGACGCACACATTGCGAGAGAGTAATTGTTTATGGGGCTAGAAATGTTGCACCTGTAAGTTCGTACTCGATGCATTACTTATGCATCACAGAAAGGACATTCTGAGTATTCAGGTTAATTGAAAGTGACGCCTTTTCATTCACTTTCATTTATTTTATAAAATAGAAAATGATAAACAAATTGCTTCTCACTCGTTTCCATTCGGCTCCAATCTGCAGCAGGCTTAGAGTGAAACGTTCAATATCTTAGTAACGATTAGCATTTAGGTAAAAACGTTTTCTTCGTGAGAATAAGTCAAGCAGAAATGTTACTGCAAGCACTTGGCCGGAAGACTTATTGCTGTTTTACGGGCTCAAACGCGTGCCGAGAGTTCGCAATTTGCAATTTGATAGAAAATTTTTCGTTTTCTGTTTCAAAGTTCCTTTTGCGTTCTACATTAAGATTCAAGGCTTTGCTTGTTAGGGAAGGTGGGGAGGTGGTGCCAGATATGTTCCCTTGGTTTGGAAGGTAAGTCGCAAAAATGTACAATTTTACGTTTACGTACTTTTTGGGGTTGAATGGATGGAATAAACGATTATTGCTTAAGGCTTGCGCTGACTCTATGTCTCTATACTGGGCTAACGAGAACAAGTTTGAAAGCCCACCTACCGTGAAGAAGTCGATGGGGCTCAAGACGTCTTCACTTCAGCGGAGCGACTGTGCCATCGCCGTGGCGTTCTTACTTTGACTTTTGTCCGTGACGTTTACTCTGCTATTTAGAAGAATCCAGGCTAGAATTCAATTTTGCTTTAGTTCACTGGCGGAAGGCACTAGGTGAGAATGACGGGTGTGCGAATGCCTCACACACTGCACTGAACGCCTAAATGTTAGCACGTAGTAGTCATTTATAATGCTAGAAAGAAAGCGTTCATTTGAGAAAGAGTTACTTTTAAAGGGCAGGCTCCAAAAACAGGAAAGTCTTTCCGGTCTTTCTTTTGTAATAACGTGTGGTCTAAGTACAGCTAGGTACGTAGCTTTGATAATCAGCAGTGTTTACATTTTTGTTTGCCGGGAAGTCGCTTGAAGGATTCATTTTATTGTCTTTTGGTTTGTATGCGGCGTAAGTCTTCGCATTTTAACTGGCATAAAGAAAGTGGCCTTGTGACTCGCACCACTGCCTGCTGACTCAAATCCTTTCCCCTGTGGCTTCGGGTGCCTCCTCAGTCCAATCTAATGTGACCGTCATTTCACTATAATTGCGTTACCGGGTCAACACATTCAAAGTAAATGACTGCCACTCAGAGGCGAGAGATGCGACTTGGTGTTCGCCAGCGAACAATGGATCTCACTTTCCTGAATAATTTTGGAAGAATGAGGCGTGCCTGGTCAGCGCTACTAGATCTGGCGCTGCCTAAGTCAACAAACGGAATGGACCAATAGGAGCCATACGCACAATAGACCTGTACGGCGCGTAAGTTCTTCTGCTCAGGGGTTGCGATGACGGGAGAACGCCGAGCTCCGATTGGCTCAGATTGAAAGAATAGTGGGTACACCTTAAGGCAGCTAGAATGGAGGTCTACCCACAATCCGTCCAATCAAAGCCAACCAGAACTCGGCGTTCTGACAGTTTTTTTTTTTTGTTTTTTTTTTACTCAAATTACTGTGCCCGAGGATGTTATATGCATTCTTCTGAGCGGATTTGACAGCCGATGGATCCGTTTCCTTCATCTACAGTGTATCTCAAACGTACAGCGTCGCCTGGAGGATAGGTGCAAGAGTGTAGGTTTGCAAACCTTTTCGAAAGCACCTCTGAAGGCATCATCATCATCATCAGCAGCAGCAGCTTATTTTTTGTGCTTATGAACAGCCAAATTGAAAAGCAAGATTACGAAGAGCGTGCAATCTTGGAGTGGTTTGTTACAAGAATATAAAGCAGATGATTTATTTATTTATTTAAAGTACCCTCAGGGCCCGAAGGCATTACAGAGGGGGAGAGCACATGCATAAAACAAAGATAGTACTATAGTAACATGTCAACAATATTAAATATACAACAAACAAAGAAAAATAATAGGTCACTGCTAAAGTAGTAATGGAATTCCTAAACAGATTAGTATATGTTATAGTAGCAATCGACTCTGGGAGGTTGTTCCCTTTCTCGGCTGTGCGGGGTAAAAAAGAAGATTGAAATGTTGTGGTAAACAAACCTGGAACTCCAACATTATGGTGATGGTCAAGACGGGATGAAATTTAAAAGGGGTGAGTAATCCTTTCATTGCGTGGAAGAGGGTTATGGAAATATATTTTACGAAATAGACATAGGCGTGAAATTTTACGCCGCAAGGAGAGAAGTGGTAAACATAATATATTTTTCATCGATGTGACACTAGCAGTACGATAAAAGTAGGAAAGAATGAAACGAGCTGACCTATTTTGAATGGATTCCAATGCAGGGATTAGACTATCGTGACCGGGATCAAAGATGGTGGCTGCATATTCTAATTTAGGCCTGATTAATGTTTCGTGGAGGATCAATTAGTGAAAAAAGTGCCAGTGAAAAGTTTCGTTTTAAGTAGCCCAACATGCAGTTAGCACGGGTAGTAATGGGGTTTCCCTGAAAAGTTATTTGTTATGTGAACACCAAGGTACTTGTACGTTGCCACTTGCTCCAATAGGTTGCCATCTAAGTGGTAACAGGGACTGTTGTTAGGTTTGCGGGACACTCTTATCTGTTTACATTTACTAGTGTTTAGTTTCATTAGCCATAATTCACACCAACGACAGACAGAGTTAATATCAGATTGAAGTGTAGACAGGTCAGAATCGTGACAGATTTCACGGTAAATTACAGGTCATCGGTGAAGAGACAAACGGATGAAGACACATTAATGGGAAGATCGTTAATATAACTTAAAAATAGTAGTGGGCCTAAAAGAGACCCTTGAGGAACTCCAGAATTCACAGACACAAAAGGAGAGTTTTCGTTGTTAATTGTTACAAATTGCGAACGGTTTTTCAGAAAAGACCGAATTCATGCGAGAACGTTAGGGTCAATGTTAAGTTTTGAAAGTTTTAGCAGTAATAGCTCGTAACACACCTTATCGAATGCCTTGGCGAAATCTAAGAAAATGCAGTCAACCTCGGAGCCTCGGTCAACAATAGAATGAATGTCATGAGTGAAGAAGGATAGGAGCTGAGCTTCACAAGATAATGATTTACGAAATCCGTGCTGTGCTTAAGTGAAGAAATTATTTGACTCTAGGAAATGTACGATTTAAATAGTTCGATACTTCATACCCACGTTCCGAGAGAAAATAACTAAAACCGGCAAAAGGCTTCGGCAAAAAATATTCAAAGTCTGCTGGCGTAGCTATCACGTCTCTTACAATAGTCAGCAAGGAAACAATACAAAATTTAAAAATAATTCAAAACATAAAGAACATCCACTTCCTGTTAATCCTTTCTAAATATTAGGCGCTAAAGAAAAATCAATAATCTTCGTTATTTCTTTATTTCGATATATATATTTTTTTTTACTTTTCGGCCATTGAAAATCACAACAAAAGAACCCAAGCACGCACCTGATCTCGCCACATCACCGTCTTTTTCCGCACAATATTTCCGTCTGCGATGACCACCACCACTGTGACAACAAAACGTCTGCTGAACGGGCACACGCACAAACACGATGTCTGAAGCCAGAAACAGTAACAGCTGACGCCATTATTTAAATGCCGTCTGCTAGCGTCATGGCAGAAAAGCTAACCGGAGTGTTTTTCAAGGAACATGAAGCTAAACTACCGATGTGTCATTTTTGCAGGCTTCATCCGTCATCAATATTATTAGATTATGCAGACGAGTATTCTTTATTTATCTATAAGAATGTGTTTCCTCTTTTGTCATTAAAGTTCAAAATGTATATACATTTTTGTGTAAAAAAATGAAACTTATGGTAGCCCCACGAAGAAAAAAACCTGCCTCTCTAACCATTGTTTTTCTTTTGTGGGGTTAATAACGGAAACTTTGACTTAGCATACGCTTTTAATATCATGCTAGGTACTTTCTCACATCTCCACATGAAAAGAGCTTTGTGGCTTGTAACAGAAGATTGTTTTGCAAGATTAGGTCTGTCCTGTTTTCTTTGATAAAACAATAGGCAAAAATATTCTTCCGAAACCTGTTTTCTCTTAAGCAGAAAAGCAGCACGTGATCGCATATATACGCGTTTAATTGTCTTTTCCGTTGCACATTTTGCCTTTTATATTCTCGTTTTCCGAAGCACGATCGCCCGCGTGAGTAGGACTCTTCCGTAGATATGCTTGAATGTAAAAATTCACAAAGAGTGCCAGTATCAAAGCCGTCTGTGCGCCTCCGAGCAGACAAAGGTGTCTGGGGAAGCCGCAGTCCACAAAAAGCGGAACCGACATGTGAAGAATAAGAATCACAAACTGGACTATCTGCAACGTCGTTAGGTACTTCTTCCACCAGAGGTACCTCTGTACCGCAGGACCAAAAGTGGCCAGAAAGTAGTACGAATACATGATGACGTGTACAAAAACGTTGATTGACAGTCCCAAAGCAACCTGTCCTTCTGGGGCGAATAAGACAAAAAACCAAACGTTCACCGCCACGATGGTGTGGTGAATGACGTGCAAATGCGTGATCTGCGTAAACTTCTTTCGTAGGACAAAGAACACGGTGTCCAAGAAGTCGGCGTACCGAACTGAGACGAAGAACCAGCCGAACTTGTAGAATCTTTCGAAGTCATCGTCCATGTACCCGGTGATTCCCTGGCACCAGAGACTGTAGCGTCCTCCTGGTAGGTACGTTAGGCCTAGCAACGCGACGAGGAACTTGGCGTTTAGGTAGACCATGATGAGGTTGTAGAGGCGAATAATGTTCACAATCTTAAATGGCTCCCTGTTCTTCATCCACCGGGGGCCAGCCACCCTGACGAAGTACAGATAGGAGAGGATCATCGGGAAGACAAACAAGGGGCTCATGACCACGGGGTAGTCCCTGGTTCTGGGGTCTCCCATCTGCTGGATCTTGTTCGACAGGGTGATCGGGTTCAGGCTGGCAATCATTTTGGGTATTCACTTCTGGTACTGGCTACGCTGAACGGTTCCTCCTGACGAAACAAGAACACAGGAAACATGTTTCATGAAAGTGTGGGGATTAGCGTATCAAAAACTGCCAAGAGCGTTGTGGGCATACGGAATTTGGTGTCGCAACTGGCAGTCCAAGAAGCCGAATAACTAGAGTAATTTGTATTATTTTTCTGTTTTTTTTTACTTCTCTGCGGAGAAGGCCGTTAGTAATAAATAATCAAGAGAAATGTAACTTCTACGCTGACTTGCTCCTACGTCGAATAGTTCATTGACTTTGCTCTGACTTTCATATTTTCTATTGAACTTAGCAGGGTTCAGCGATATTAAGAAGAAACTCCAGCTACGTTGTGACTTCGGATAGATAAATATTATTCAAGTGATAATTTAAATATTGATCAGAAATGCTGAAACAAAATAAAATTCAGGTTACGTTGTTGTTCAAAAGTAAACAAGTAGAATGAGACAATATCTCAACAATGACCGATTCAGAACTGCACCTTTGAACACGGACTGGATCCGACGTTTTTTGGACGATTTTTTTTTTTTTTGTGAATTATACAGCGTAAGGTCGGTCTGCCAGTAGGGGCGACACTGGTTTACACTGTAGATGAGCAATTTCGCCAGTGCAGTACGACTGCTAACCTGGGGTCTTTAACGTGCTCACGCAGTAGCGATACACGACCGCAAGACGGCACGATGCTCATCCAGATCGAAATGGGCAGAGGTGGGGCTCGTTTCAATCTGGACGAGCATCGTACCGGCGTGCGGCCGGGATCGGGATGACTGGATCCAAATTTGCCTTACAATGCCGGCAATTTTTTTGTTGAAGATAAAAATGAAATCTGCTAAGCAATAAAATGCTATACTCCTGAATCTTAAAAGTGCGTAAAAGTCAATGCTATACCTAAAACATGAAAAAGTCGACAAGGGCACATTGCAAGTAGACAATTAATTTCTAGCTCTTAAGAGATGGCACCAGCTACAACCATGCGTCTTAGAGTGATTAAGCCGGTGATATCTCTGGGATGGTGTCAAAATATTGTCTTATGTTCGCCCTCGTGCTCATGCTATCGGAGAAATGCTATCGGAGAGTCTTATGTTCGCCCTCATGCTATCGCAGGAATAATAAAATTTTGCTAAAGATTTTTTTTTGGTTTTGTATCTTAGCACTGATATTAATCTGGTAATGCGCATTTTAAAACAATAAAGCACGCCTTTCAATAACAGTTATTTTTCCGGGACGTCCAGGTGGTGACTTTAGCGACCCGTTTTATATTGTGAATAATCGTTTTATGTTCTTTTATATACGTACAAAATACACCTGTCAAACTAAGAGATTATTGACATTGTGCATCCCAAACGAATTTCACATATCAGACGTTTGTGTATTTTTTGTACCTCGTACGCTGCTACACGAAGCAAAAAAGGCGTCAAGAGCAGGGGGTTCCCTGGTCAGAGGGGCGAAACAAATTTGCCCGTAAATATACTTTACGAAGTGGGCATTTCAGAACGGCTTAATATGTATATTCCTTACGCGTGCTCCAAATTCTATGAAAGAGGATGTATTACTCTCCAGATAAACTCACTCGAGAGACCTCATAAAGTGCCAGAACGGCGGCACACATTTCGCTAAAGAAAGCTTAATTAAAATTGTGTCTCGTCTTGAAAAACAAAATTCTGTCTCTACACATGGGCGCCTCACTTTCGGCGAAAGCTAACATACAAAATAACGTTTTGACTTACGTTTGAGCGCCTCTTGACCTGTGATCAGGCAGGTGAAGGGAAACCACTGACGGACACAAATTATGGTTTCCCTCAGAGGAACTGGTTGAATTCTCTGGTTCCGAGCAACGGCCTGGCCAAGTTGCGGTGCAGCAAATCCTCGGTGATGGTGACGCTCCGCTCTGAAGGTTAGCGATCAAGCATGAGTCTGTAGCTGGACGTTCTCTGCTACTGGTCGGCTAATTCTGAAGTGCCATGTCCAGCAACTAGGCCATTCTTCGCACACGGCGTCTGTAATGTCTGCACCGAGAAGGAACTGCACCTCTCTAGTTGCAAAGAAGATCCGCGAAATAAGCGAATCGCAAATTTGTCCTCACGACATTGGAACCCAGCCTTTCCTCAATTCATCAATGTGACTACCAAATGCAGCTTCCGCTGCATTTGCCAGTCACGATGAACTTCCTAAGGAACGTTCTGCCTCGACGTTATTATTTTAATCGCACGGTACAAGAAAACAGCAAAAGAACGCTTTCCGCTGTACACCTGTTTCCCTTACAATGGACCGCGGAGGTCGCTAAGAGCCACGAAAGCCAACCCAACGTCGCCCGACTGTCACGTGACCTTCGGGGCAAGCGCAGTGACGTGGTTTCCTGCAGTTGACCCGACAGCTTAGGCACGTGGTGCCTTCTCAGCGCTGGATTGGCTAAGATGTCTCGTAGCGTCCGCTTAGGTCCACCATGAGTTCAAACGGGGAAGTGGTTTTCTGCTGTCGACCCTCATGCAACGGACAATTCCGATAATTCCATCCTGCGTGCCGCCATCTTTGTGTACTGGGCTGTGGGACGCGTTCTGGACACGCACAGTGGCTCTGTTATTGTAAATGTCAGACGCCGCGCATGCGTCAACGGCCCAGTGACTCAGCGTTTCTTGCTCGGGTGATAAGCGCCGAAAAGGAGTAGCATATAGTCATAATTACTCAGCGCGTGTTTGTGCGCATTTTCGATATTTGCTCGTTAAAGTGTACGGCAAATTCAGTGTTAAAGGGGCACTGACGGGGTATTTATGCTCGCCGAGGTTTTATTTGAGCATGACCTAAAAGAACCCAGCTACCCAGCACATCATTTGCGGCTCGAAATTTGTTTTCTTTCCGCCCGAAAACAGCCGCCGACAGTTGGCCGATTTCAGTCGTGCTCACTCTTTTTTCCACAGTCACGTGGCCTTCAAACTGATGCGTACCAAATATATTCAAAGTCGACGGTCATATAAGGCGCACATTCAATATTGAAAATTATATGAAAATAATAGGAACCCCAGTTTACTGGCCTCTAGGAAACTGCAAATACATTGATCGGAAAAAGAAAATGTCGCACAAATCACGGGAAGTAGGTGCACTACGTCATGTTCAATATGGCGATATACGGCGGACTGGACGGCGCGATGGCGGAGCACGACGCACCAAAGTTGTGACGGACGAGGGGGTCGCTTATGCGGAACGGTTGTTCGTGGTACCGGCCAACCGATCTTCAAGCGTAGAACATCGAGCGGAAGGTATATAAGTGGGAAGCATTCGGACTACAAACGTGCACGCAATGGGCCTTTGGATGGATGGATGAATGGATGGATGAATACGGCTGAGCCCTTTGGATCGGGCGGTAGCTTACGCCACCTAGCCATTTTGTTTTACCATTAAGATTAGAATATTTAAATGTGAAATCTATATTCACTCCGCAGTGCAAAGAAAGTGAGGCTATGAAACCCCGTTGCCATCAGTGAATAAGAAAATACCTAGTTTTCTCTCGATTTCTGCCACCATTCACTTAATCTTTGCTTGGTAATCTCTACAGTCTTGAAATCCACTCTCCCTTCGCTGTCTCTAAAACCCAATGACTTTATTAAATCTATGTTGTCTTCGGTAGGCATAGGGTGAAGCCCTTTACAGTAGAGTATCAAGTGCTCAGCCGTCTCGTCCTCCTCTCCACAAGCAGTGCACACTGTATCAATTTCCTGGTACTTCACTCTGTATGTTCTGGTTCGCAGAACACCCGTCCTCGCCGCCTCAAACAGCAATGAGCTTCCCCTAGAATTGTCATAAATGCTTTCTTTGGCAATAACTCTTTTGTTTAATCTATAGCTTTCCAGAGCCGTCTTTGTCTGCATTCCCTCTAGCCATCGATCTCTTTCTGTGGCCTTAACTTTCTTCTTAACTGAGACTTGCTCTTCCGTATCTCCGCTATAGCCCAAAAACTTTCCTCTTAATTTCCTAGTGCGCTCTCTCCACTTTGTGTCTACACTCCTCATGTATAAATAGCTGAAAACCTTTCGTGCCCATTGCTCCCCATCCATTTGCCTCAATCTATCTTCAAAATCTATCTTACTCACCGCTTCCCTTTTCCGCAAATGTTGGGCGCCATCTATCGGCAAGCAGGAGAGGCGTTTCTGATGGCCTGCCTTGCTTCCAATTCTGCCCTCTCCAATCTATGTTGGCTGTCTGAACGCGGTCGGGAAATGAGCTCACTGCTCAGCGTTTGTTTTTCTTCTATCCAATACAATCGACGAGGAGATTTGTTTTCAATTAATGCTTTAACTACGGACGACTTCGTCCGTTTGTAAATTTTTTTTATTCTCTCTCTCTCTCCCCGAATGAATGAACGACTGACTTCGCCATGGCATCCGTTGTGACTGACGACACCGTTGAAGCTCTCTTCGACCTATGGGAAAGTACAAACGGTTACATTAAACTAGGATGCATGTCATATGCAGTACCGGCAGTAAATTAAAAAAATATTTGAGACCAAGTTACAGTTAAGGAAAGCCTTTTTTTTTAATTGCAAGCTATTTGTTTAATTTGCTGGAAAATTTTTATTGGCAAGATGTATTCTCATAAATGGGAAAGCTTACTCTAAACCGTCCGGAAAACACCGGCGCCTGAACGTACCAACGTAATTCTCATCAAAAGTTTATTTTAGTTGTCGATTTCACCTTGTGACATTTCAACGCTTAGCTCTATTTCCATTATAAAATGAGACCAACAAACTTGACCGGGTCAACGGCGGACTTGTTCAGCGACTATACTAAATGTCGTTTACGAGCGCCGCTGACCCTGGCGAGTTTGTTGGTCTCGTTTTCTACTGGAAAAAAGCACCACTTTGAAAATTCACAAGGTCAAATTCACCACTAATATACATGTTTAATAAATATCGAAGACTAATACGTGCAGTCACCGATTTCTTAACGAGCCTCGTCAAATGTCACCCCACTTCAGGCTACAGCTGTGTGTGACTGTAACCTGAAAAAAAAACACAAACTCGGCCACACTTTTTTTTCTTTATTTTTAGTTCCGCGCCTGTAGACAATGTTGCAAACTTATTTTTTGTTTACTCGATACATACACGAGTACAGCACATCAAGGCGATTGTTTCCTCTTTCTTATTTAACCACAAGACCAGCAGATGCGGTCGTGGTAGCGATAGATGTGCTCCCATTTTACTTTCTGGGTGTGCACTTAGCAACAAACTGCGCAACATAGCCACTTTACCTCAATGCTTTATAAATATTTGAAAACTGAGGGTTATTCCAATGTTTACAACAACCAAAAAGCAGACAGGCAGTTTGCGTTGCAACGCGAGACCCTCACATTGGTAAACAAAAAAGTGTGCCAGTGAAACGCACTATCCCAGAAACGCTAACTCCGAAGCGCTCGCTCTGCGTGGCACATAAGCGACACGACAGCATACCTAACCAATCTGCTTACTTGTATTCACACACAAATAAAAAATGAAGGAACAAAAACATGAACTTTCCTTGAAGTGGTAACTGCAAACGCGGGAGTGCTTTGAAGGCTGCCTTTACGAGCCGTCCGCATTGTATCGCTGAATCGCCCGAATCCAGAGCTGCCGCTTCGTCGCGTGCAGGCTAGTAGAAGGAAACCCAAAAGAAGCTTAAACCGCGACAACGCTTGCTGTCGTTGCTGCAGCCAACAACGAAACAGCGCTAGGGCCTGTCGGAGAGCTTCGAAACGAGCGACCACCGCTGCCTCCTGCAGTCCCGAGCCGGACGTACCACGCCACCAAAAATGGCGGACTCGTGTCTGCTGCTGCTGCGCATACGCCGTGGAAACCCCGGAAAAGGCCCATTTTATCGCCGTCGTCATCTGCTTCACACGCCGAAAAAGCAGAGAAAAGAAAACGCGGTCGGATGTCGTTACGTGGTTTCCAGCAACTCTCTCCTACTCTACATTTCTCCCTCCTCCTCGGTACAAAGCGTCCACATGTCGCGGCCACTATCTTCCGTGCTCATGTTTCGGTTTCGGTTTCGAGCATCATGAGTTCTCGGGCTTTCTTAGAAAGATACGTGAATCAGTATCAAAATATGGATTGTGTAGTCGTCTAACACTGCCTTAAATCGCCTAGTAAAAACATCTTGTGGGAGGTGTCAGTGTCTATTTGAAGAGCAACCAGTTCAGATATGTGCGTTAGCTGCTTTCACTTCCAGTACAGGGAAGCGGACGCTTAATCGTAACACGGGAATAGATTTTAACGCTGACACCTTGAGCGTAATAGTCATAGGGGCAAATATATGTGAGACCGAAAATCATGGAAGAAGAAAGAGGTGTCGGAACAAAGCCATGAAGGGAAGTGCACTGTACGTCGGGTTGTGGCCCCCGCAAGGAGGCGCAGTCGCGCGTCTCACGGCCTTAAAAAAACGTGTCCGCTAAGAAGGCCGGTTCTACTTATCTTTATGGATATTGGCTGGATTGCCAATCCCCACTTTGAGACCACTGCGCAGTCGCGGCCATTGATCGACAATTTTACGTCACCTACACAGAGCGTTGTCAAGCCTGGAAAGCTACAATCTTTGTCAACTGTCGAACAGTAGCCCCTCGGGAACCTGAGAAAGTTCCGCAAAATCACCGCCCCTCAGGCTCAAGCAAAACTGGAGTGAGTTGACAACACGCGTAGCCTGTGATCAAGTGGCCAGTGATCAACAACAGCTGATTTGGTGCGGAGTGCCCCTTCATATGTATTGCCCCTTCGAAAACGTGCAAACCGATAAAGAATAATTGTTATGGATATG